CCCCCCCCCCCCGCGCGCGCGCAGCAAGAATCATCGGCCTTTGCTTGTCATGTTTTTTTATCGCCTACTGTTGTGAAATGTGTGTTGCGGTCCTCACGGTCAATCTGTTCGCGCTCACGCCCCCTCGTGGAACACAGGACATGGAACTTCTGCTCGCCAAGTGCTTGGCGGCAATCGCCCGCAAGACCCACGTGACGGTAAGCCTAGATAGAGCACGATATGGCCAGGGTGCTATTTTTACGACACCTTCAGATGCTTCTTGCGCGAACTAGATTCGTTCATGACAGGGGCCTTGCGTAGCCCCGTGCATAGGCGTATGTATTGGATGAACTCTGCCCCAAGGTCCACCTGATAAACTTTTCGGTATTCTTTGGTTGCCTAGACACCAGCCTCGCAACACGTTGAAATTTCGTTTCTTCGTCTTCTACCACGACAGAGGAGATCCATGTTGACGGGAGAGCCAGACAAGGTCACCGTCCAGATGGTGGCGCCCCGCCAGCTCACCTCCGGCGACGTCATGTTCGCGGTGGGCAAGCTCGGCCGCGCGGCGGGCTTCGAGCCGATGGTTGGCAAGATCGCCATCGCCAAGGACCCCACAACGGCGGTGTTCGACATGTCCACTGAGGCCGCCGACCAGCTGATCAAGTTCAGCAAGGAGCAAAACTTGGAGAGCATCGAGTTCAATATGTGCCCCGTGCTGCCCGTGCTTCAGGAAGCGCCGGTAAGGAGGCGTTTTTGTTGGGTCAGGTTTGAGGGCAGCTTTCGTTTTTTTTCCGCGGTGTTCGGCTGTGTGCTCGAGGAATGACGGGGCAGCAGCAATTCGGGCAATCACGCTTCGCCTCTCACCACAGCACGCCTCTCACTTCAAAAGTCTTTTTGGTCTCCCAGCGGTGCGAACAGTACGTCCTGAATGGGATGCCCTCGTTCCCGGGCGGTCCTTCTTCTTTAGTTCGCCATGGCGTTATCAGGCATGTTCCTTTGCCCATCGAAGCCATGCCCTCCGCTATCGGCTGCGTCCTCAACTCGTCTCTCGATCGTAGTTTCCGCGCCGAGAGCCTCGTTCGACAAAAAAAAATAATGTACTTGACATTTCGTGCTCACCTGTTGCTCGTTTCCATATAGTACTCAAGGACCAAGCTTTGTTATCTATATAACTGGAACACTAACGCCTGGCGTCTTGCTGTGAAGTTGCGGACGGGCTTCGCCAGCATAGTTGTCCGCAGACGCGGTGCACTTTCACTTGTTTTTTTCTTTTTGCACCCAAGACCTGTCGCGGATTTTTGTTTCTAATCCCTTTGCACCTCAACACCTGTCCTGAACAGGGAGGACGGTTTGGTGGAGGTCGGGGAGGTGGCCGCGGCGGGCGTGGACGCGGACGCGGCGGTGGCGGCGGTTACAGGGGCAGCCGATCATCGTACGGCGGTGGAAGGGGCGGATCGTACGGTGGCGGAGGGGGGTACCGCGGGGGCGGAGACAGGTGAGAACGGATATCTGTGGACAGGGGGGCGCAGGCAAGCATAGTCCTCCCCCCTCTCTCTGTACTTGGTTGGCCGCGGTTCATGTGCGTACTGTGGCTGTCTGCGGGTTCGCTTGTCTCTTGTCTCTTGTCTCTTGTCTGATACAAAGGGCATGGTATTTTCGTGGCCTTATACTGTACGTTGAGTTCGAAACCCCGTGTCCAAGTTTTCACGGCCCACTTTGACGGGGAATCTTGAATATGTAGCGCGATCGTCTTTGACTCGCACCGACTAGATTAGTTATCCCTCCCTGTTACGTTCTTTGAACGCATTGCTCGCTAGGCCATCCCTCCATGCACTTGTTCATTCCCTAAGAAGTCTTTCCCCTCCCCGACATTTCCCCTTTGGTGAACTTTAGAAACGGTGGATACCGGGGCGGGCGATCATCGTATGGCGGCGGCGGTGGAGGCTCATACGGAGGGGGGGGCGGGGGCAGTTACGGGTCGCGCGGCGGCGGTGGCTACAGTGGTGGCGGTGGTGGTGGTGGTGGAAGCTATGGCGGCGGCGGCGGCGGCGGCGGCGGCGGCGGCGGCTATGGCGGTGGGTACGGATCACGCGGTGGGGGGGGTGGCTACTCGGGCGGTGGGGGGGGTAACTCGGACTGGTAGACGGCGTGATGTAGTACGGGACCTTTTGGATTGATTGTTGCGGCGGTGGTGACCCGCAGGTGACAAGCCAGGGTGATTGATTGCCCGCTTCGCTGGCGGTGGTCAGCAGACGTTGCTGCGCGGGATACGCGAGTGCGACGAACACCATTATCCCGTACCGTTGTACCGTTGTATGCATTTTGCCATTTGTGCGCTCGGACCCGAACTCGTGGGAGACGAGGATGTTGGTGGTGGACAGCTCGAGATTTTCTACCACAAATTGTGCACGTTTTAATGGCGAATTCCGAGGAAAGGGCTCCAGCGGGGTGGTCTGTCTTAGCATTGGTCGTCATTCTGACGCCGAGGAGTGACGGCCGTTGGTTGGAGCCTGATGAGTTCGAATAAGGCTGGCTCGGGGTGAAGGGAGAATCTGAGCGCATTGTTTGCTCAAGTGTCCTTGACAAGCTTGGCTTTTTTTTTTGTAGCTTTTTCTGTGTTCATTTTTGGACTTTCTATTCACAACGAGTTTTCGCCCATGAGGGTATGCCAGATATTATTGATCAGTGATCGCGAGGTTTAGGGCGAAATTGTCGGGGATTGGACTGTGTGTTTCCCGACCCAGTCTGTCCTTCGTTGTTGATGGTGGGTGGTACCAAGCGTTGTGTAAGACGTAAGACCGATTTGTGCTTCTGCTTGCGCTTGCGTGGGGATTTAGAAGCCTCCTGGCTATTACCTTGTTTTAGAGAGCCCTAACCCTTTCCAAGACTACTGCCTCCCCTCCCTCGACTTGTATTCTTGTTGGTGACCGACCCTGAGGCGTGCTACGATATATTTGCCGCTTTCATCGCCGTGTGCCGTGGACTCATGTCGCCCGCGTCCCAGCACCAACGAACGTCGATTTGTATCTCTTTATAGCTTGGATCGAGACCATCGGTGTTTTGCGCGGAAGGGCCCGTCCGTACTTGTAGACCCGGATCCCCCATCCCAGGTCCTACCAGGTGTTGGTAAAAATCCCGGAGAGCAGCAAAACAATGATCAAGTTTCAGAAGTTTCACATGTGCCAAGCTTGGTGCTGGCTCTGGCGCCCCAGACAAGGTTGCTGCGCGCCGTGTGGTGCACAGTTCGTAATGGGAGGCAGGCAGTCGCAGTTGGCCCGGGTTAGGTTTGGTGTGACTCGACACGTCGAGCAAGGAGGCGTTTGTTGGAGCGAAGGCGACATCCATAACGGGGTAGATTTTGAGGGAATACCAAGCGATGGCGTAATTTGGTTTATCGTTTTTCATGTTTCTGATGAGGGTAATCATAGGTGGTCTATATCCTTGTTTTTCGTTAGATGCGTGTATGCATATAAGGCGGGATGAACGAGCAAGGGCATGGTTGAGGAGCCGCGCAGCATGAAACTTGGCCCTGTTTCTTGAAGTGATTGAAAGGCCGATACCAACAACTTTTGGTGGTGGAGCTGAACATGTTGAGGACGTCCTTCTCGACGCCCTACGTTGGAACCCTTGACAAATCACAGACCACACTGCACGACATTCGGTGCAACCACTGCTGTACGAGCATTTGCTTGAGTCCTTTCTAGCGTTGAGGGCGGAGGACACCGGTGCATCGCAGCAACGCGAGCGTGGATGACCATTGCCATTATAACCAAAAGTTCTGTTGTACTGGCACGAGTCTCGTTCCGTGCAGTCGCAACCTCTGTCGAGACTCGGACGGCTGAGCAACAGAGAGAGACGCGGTGGGGGCGTTACACTCGTGATTTTTGTTTTCCGCTATGCGAACAAAAGTTGCCGATCTGCTACCCTAACATGAGCTGTTCGAAGTCCAACATCTCTCAAATCAGTGGTGAGAACAACTGTCCGTCGGTGAGATGCACGCACGTCTCCCGTTGTTGCCTTTGTTCCACAGCGCGAAAATGGAGCGTCGAAGAATAGGGGAGAGGCACAGCCAATTTGGCGCTCAAACGTCTCGTGATTGGTGGACGAAATCTTGAAGCCAGATAGATACAATTCCCCCCCTTTCGTGATGACATTGGTGTTTGACACGAGCAGCAACCACCCCACCGCAAGGCCTTCGAGACAGCTGAATATACGCCTTCACATGTTCCAGGGACTCGTGCCCCCCGCTTGTCCTCTGACCACAAGCTGCTCTGATCCCTTACCTTCCACAACGCTCAAGTGCTTTGGACCGAGATTCAATGGCCCTGTGGGTCGTTTCCTGATCGCAGGCTGAACCGCTTGTTATCGGTGCTATCATAAGACGCGGCATAAGGTTCATCGTCGTGCGTCCGAAACCAGCTGGCAATCAAACGATGATTCTCCCCGCCTGCCGCCGTTCGTTCCCGCTGGCTGTGCAGACACTCTTTGCGCATCAATCCTCCTTCTCCGCGAGGCGGCACGACTCGATCAAGTCCTCGAGCTCGAGACCCCCGTTGCCCCCAGTGCCGCACGCAAGGGTCCCCATGCCCACATCCGCTGGGCCCCTATATCGCCCCATCGGGTCCGGCACCATGTGCAAGCTGGACGGCACGCACCGAAACTCGAAGTCCCTCCCCTCCTCCCCCCCAGCCAGCGTAATCCCCGTCGCTCTCGCGAGAACGCCTGTTGCCCTTGTCCGCCCCCCAGGCGGCCCTTGCTGTGAGCCACTCGGGTCATTGCCTGGCGCTAAAACAGTTCCAGAAGGCGTGGAACTCGCGTGGCCTCCGTGTGTAGGTGAGGGGTCGAAGTGTATCCGCATGGCGACCCCCGGCGGGAGGGTTTCCTCTCCTTGGTTAAGCATCGGCGGGCGTGGTGGGAGAGGGGCGGCCAGAGCATCTTCGGACCAGTCGAACAGGAGCGAGTCCGTCACCCCCGAATAGGGGTTTATGTCCAGGAGCCACACTCGAGAGCGGTTGTCCACGTACACGTCCGCCACGCCTGGGCACACGTGTACACGTCGGTCGTGTGATGGGATCGGCATCGGAATGTAGAAAAAAAAAGAAAAGTCATCGCCGACAACACTCGGGAATGGCCAGCAAGCCTCCATCGACACGGCGGTCGGTAGTGTCCCATTCTGTCCTCATCTTGCGTGGCGAGTGGAAAAGAGAAGGCTGACCGGGGGGGCAAGGGGGGGTGCTGCTAGGGGAATGGCACAATCGACTCGTGGAAATTTTCTTGCATGCGACGATACCCTACGCAGGACCGACTACGCAGGGTGCGTCGGGTGAACCCAAATTCTCCGGCCAAGATATGTGGCCAAGCCGCATGGATTGTGCTCGATACAAAATGAACGACTTCAATTTCCCTCAGCGCTCCCTCCGCTTTGAGGAAGTTCTCCGGACGGCGTCAACAACATGAGCGACTCTTCTTGCTTGTGTGTCATCTCATTTGTTCTGGGCGTTGATTTATTGCGCATTTGGGTATGTGATAATAGCATGGGTTACAGAGGAAGAAGCTCACGCAGGGCTTTTCTTCAAGAAACTCTTCGGCTTGTTGGGCAGTCACAATGTACTTCGAAAACGCCGATGAGATCCTTACAGTCAGGGTCTGCGAACTTCTTGCACACTTCCGCCGCGAAAAATTCCTCCAGTAACGTCGACAGCCGGTCCGCCTCTTCCTCTAGAAACCCGTAGTAGCTCGTGCAGTCTCTTTGGCAAACACCTGAGGGTCAAAGGTGTCAAGGATGGACGACATGTAGCAAAGAGAAAACGTCGACCGTCGTCACTGCGTTCCCGAGATGCATTCCGACAACAGTGTGGGCAACAGCAACCAGTGATGCCCGGGGGGTAGTGAACGTTGGCGTAAGCTCATGTGTCATGTTCAACCTTACCAGCACGACGACATCGACGGACGTTGCCTCATTCCTGCAGAGATTAGAGAGGATTGGAGCGGGTTCGCCGCTTTTGACCTCGACGCTCACCAAACCGACAAAGGACAGTAAGAGGGTACAATAGCTGAACACATCAAAAGTCAAGAGGAACAACACCATATTCCACGAACACTACATGGCACGATAGACTCACCCACAAGCCGCCTCTCTCTGACGAAGCACCGGAAGAGCATGGAGGGGTGGAGGTTGCACCACTTCCGCAAGACCAGCGTAAATGTTTCCGGTCGAGATATGCTCGAGCCCGTGCACGCGTCAAACCTTCAGCACATCGAACAGCACAAGCCACGAGTCCGTTACGTTCACAGTTGATGTCGTGGGGCGGAGATATCTTGGAAACTTACACGCGAGGTGACCCCCCCTGCCATTATTTCCAGCAAGGAACTCTAAATTACCATAAACCGGAGCATGTCCGCAACATCAACGTCGACTACATTTTCCACGGGAGGTGCCCAGGTTATTGATTGAGGACAACGACAACGACAACGACGGCGACAACAACAGAGAGAGAAATGCTTGGACAGGCCAAGGGAAAACCTCAAAAGAAAGCGCCGGTTTGTAACGCGAGTGTCCACGAATGAATCGACAACAAGAGAAATATCTACATCTACATCATTCGTGACCAAAGACAAAGCCCCACACAGACTCAACGACGCGAAGAAAACTTAGCAGGCCTAACCCTAACCCTGCAATGGGGCAAAACCAAACTTGTGCGCCGAGGGAGGCCAAGCTTTGACTAGGATCGTGTTGTTGCTGTATGCTGTATGCCCTGCGGGGGTTACCAGCATCGAGCGACCTGAATCGTGGGTCACTCCACCGTAGAAAGCTACCTCAGGTGCCACCTGCGGTTGGCAAGATGAGACGGGTGGTCAAACCTAGTCCTCCCATCCGATCTATCAATACTCCTTGTGTACGGCTCCACGACAGCGGTGCACGCTTGCTCAGATAATCTAGATACTTCCCTGGTATGCCGTCACCAACACGTAGGTGCCTCCTCAGCCAACGAGTCTGCTCAAAAAGGGTTGTGCTGGTGCTAGTGTTTGGTGGTGTAGGCATCAACATGGAAGGGTGACAAGACACATACTCACGCATGGTTGAGATCATGCGAGATGAAGGTGGAGCTCTTGATCAGGCAGAGCACGTCCCCTGGCAGCTTGCACTTGAGGCTCCCTCCGTTTACCCACGCCGCGTCCTAAATGTACCGGTGGAGGAGCAAGTACCGACATCGTCGAAAATACGATACATAGTGACATATCAACAAATGCTAGCGAGATGCGCGAACCAGAAGACAACTTGAGCTTGTCTCTCATCAAAGCTGTATCCTCGTCGCATGAAAGTGCACATCTCATTAGGGTGGTCCACGAGGAAGCGACAACAGTGAGCGAGCGAACCGAGACAAGCAGACACACAGACGGGCACACCGACAGTCACACAGGCAATTGAACAGCGATAGCTTCACCAGCAAAATCATCGGACTCGCCTTCGGGCAGCTCCAGTTGAGCTTGGGAAACACCGCTCCCCCCAAAGAAGCAATCGCGTCACTCAGCAGCGCGTGAAGGTCCGGGAAGTCTGGCTGGTTGTCGTTGAGATATGGACGGAGCAGCAGCAACAGCACCACCAGTTAGTTTCGGCCAGGGAGTATTGATTAGTGCACGGATCAGGAAAACAGGACACGTCAAATGATATGGTAACATCTTCAGAGAGTATCACCGGCTGACGATGTGAAGTTTTCTACATGCCTTCTCCACCGTCATTCACCTGGCCCGTGCGTTTGTAGCAAGAGAATAGGAAATTTAACCGGGTTCGCGTATCATGTACATGCCCCCATGCCCCCATGCACCACACACAAATACAGCTGGTCAGCCCGTTCGGGTAAAAGGGCGCTCTTTCTACCGTAGTTGCTTGCAGATACGATACTCCAAACGCCCGACCAACACCATGTTCCGAGAAACCATGTTCCAAGAGCCCTCTCTTACCCTATCTTGTTCATCCTCGTCTTCATTTCCCCAGTCCACCTCGTCGTCGATGTCATCCCGCACCCCTTCCCCGCACGACATCTGGAAGCCCTTCGGCAGCACCACGCCATCCTGCTGGAGGTACCGCACCACATCTTCGGGGAGCTCCAGTACCACGCTACGCGGTGTGCAGTGTTTGAACACCGGATGCCATCGACCGAACTGGCAGTTCAGGACATGCCCCTGCGTAGGAGCCGGTGACACCCCCAACCGTTCGGTCGTTTCCACTGCAGCTGCTGCTGCTTCGGTGCTGTTGAGTTCCTGCACGACTTCTTCGCTCGTGTCGCCCGCTCCGACGTTAGGCACCATCACGCTACGGTCGGACACACGGATTCGCACGGGGCTTAGTTAATGAAGGACGCTCCCTGAGCAGCAGCTGTTGTGCAGCATGCATGATGTTGATTGCCTAGTTTGATTGTATGGATGTGCTGGAAAAGCTGTTCTTGGGCGGTAAGGTGGGCACACTCTCAACCCGTCGAAACACAAACGTTGCAGGTTGCAGAATCTTCAAACCCAGGGTCAGGTGTCAGATGCGGTGTAATGTTCTTCCAGTGTAGCCATGCTGACGGCCTGGTTCAGTTAGAGGACCTTAGAAGGGAGCGGGGCACGTGCTGATCCCACTACTTTGGGGCTAAGGTGGGCCCGGTATCGCTAATTGATCGAAATTGTAACTGTTTCACCGCCGTTGCCGTAACACCGTGACACCGGCAGTTGCACGAGAGGAGGCCGGGGGGGCGGTTGCTGGTGTGTGGTGCGTGGGCGGTGCATGTTTCACTGCAAGTTGAGCTGGCAATAAAATCACTGCGTTGATTTTGATTAAACACAATAGAGAGCAACGACTAACATGGCCATTTGGGCCGTTGAACACATTCCCTGGTACGTCGGTAGCTAGCTCGGTACAGCAGTATGGCTTCGAGCACCAGCGAGCGCAATGGTTGAGCGCGAGGCGGAAAATAGTAAACACACCTGGAGGGAGTAGACGTCGATGTTACGTCAGCTTCTTGGGGAACGGCGTTCAGCGAAACAACGCAAATTTTTGGGCAGGGTGGGTGTGTGCGTGGGCCTTGCGTCTAGCGTGGCTGGTTACAGCAACAGCAGTGCGAGTGGGGTAGTGAACGGCCGGTGCAAAGAGTGGGTTGAGGCACCGCGAAAAAACTAAAAAATATTGGTGTATAAGGTATCCATGCCAGCTGCGAGGACCCTGCTGGAGTTGCTGATGGCCTCCGACACAAACAGAGGTGGGCTCTCTAAAATAGAGCAGCCCTTGAGACAACGCAAGATGGAGCATGTGAGTACTGTTACAATGCCGCGGGATGTCTCCATTGCCTGCGTGTTGAACCTGGGGAGTTGAGGTATTCAGCAAGAAGTGTAGCCAGGTGTAGATTGGTATCGACGCTCTGAGAATCGTCGTCTCGACTGCCCTCAGCAGCAACCGTACTGGCATGCCCCAGTACGGACAGGGACCTCGCGTTGCGAGTATCATACAGCCTACCACGTTCGTGATTTTCCGGGCACAAGACTGCCGTTGCTTTTATCTCCCTTCTGTTTCTTATTGGGGACCGCTTGTGCAGATGCATCTCTCCGCCAGCAAGAGCTGTGAGTACTCACGCTGGTCCCCATGCTCCCTCGCATTTGCCTTGTTCTGGAACAGGGGGTCACCATCGATGATGAGAGTAACCACGCGCGCTCGCTTGTGGCGTTCGAAGAGATGCTGGAAAATCTTGTGATTCGCTTGGTGAGCAACGCGGCCAAGGACAGGCAGGGGGGACTGCAAATAGGGAGTGCAAGAAGCTTCGTTGGGTGTTTTGAGCACGCTGATGATCTTTGATTTTTGTCATGAGCAGCGAAAACAACCCAGTTATCCCGTACAAGTGGAGTTGCCCATGTTCGTGTGAGCGACATGTAAAATCTTTTGGTGCTACGAGTGCTGTGCATACGAGCGCTACCCCATCTGCTAGCCTGGTTCTAGAGGGCAATCGCCATATTTGTTATTCGGGTCGGGTCGGAATCATATCGGAAATCGATTCAGGTGTTGAGGTATTCCTTCTGTTCGTAAGTCGTGGGTAAAGCGGCACCTTAGCCCTCGCGATTCCCCCGCATGTTGGGCGGCGAACTCACGGCTGAAAACGTTGCGGTTAAGTGGAATACAGCACGTCCGAGTGAGTAGATGGAAACGCGAGCATACCCCTCCTGTTCTACGCCCCTCGGAACTGTTGGCCTGAGTTTGTGATATAGCTTCTACCACGCTATTTGGGGTGGTACATATGAATGCGCTCTTCGCGCTTGATGATTTGTGGGCAAGAGGATGGCTCATCGATGCCACGCAAAAACACGATGGCTTCCATCGATTCTACGCCACGCTTTCATCATCCGCATATCACCGCGTGCGAAGAGCGCGTTCGCACGTGCGACGGCAATCAGCGGCAGTTGGCCTCTAGATACAGCAGCGGACTACATTACCTCATGGGAGCCTTGTACAAAATTTATTGTTGTGTATACACCTGTTCTTCCTTTGTGGCTTTACGTTGAAGATTATCGTTTCCTCGGCCAGAAAATCCCATCCAAAATCAACACGTTCCCGGAGGAGCTACCAATTTTTGCACTGATGTTGCCCCCACGGTATTTTACCTCTGCCCTTCGTCCAAAACCTCGATACCTCCTACCGTACAAAGCCAACGACGAGTTGTATCGGGTTTCGAGCTAACCATGGAGTAAGTCCACATTCCACGACCGAGGACATGTGCCGTCACACGCGAAGAGATGAAAAGTTGCCAGACTTACAAGTCTAGAAACACGTAACAGGAGGAAGGCAAGAAACCGACAAAACAAAACAATGGAGGAGCACCCCTTGCTCCACTCGGAAACGGCGCCCGCCAATGACAGGTTGCGACAAACATAGGAAAGTTCAAGTTTTTTCCTCCACCGAGACAAACGGTCAACAAGTGAAAAATCCAGAACCACTCAAGATCCCCCCCACCCCCCACCCCCTACCCCCTACCCTTTCTTCTGCCCAATACCGTTTTGCAGTCACAGGCAAGCGACGCCGTGGCGCTTCCCGGGGAAGAAGGAGAGCTGACCTCGGCGTTGCGCGAGCTGTCAGCCCTCATGAAGGGCCTGGCTGAGAACGTGGCCATGGAGAGCCCGGCGCACCGCCGAGCTCTGTTGCGGACGTCCCTGCCGTCGAGCCTGAGGGCGATGCTGGGACAGACGTATGCGGGAGAATCCGAGGGCGTGGTCGCTTCTGTGCAGGAGGCTCTTTGGAGCGTGGCCCGCGCTCTGGCGAAGGCGAGCGACTTTTTTTTTGGTTTGGTGGGCCGTTGTTGCGCGGCTGCTCAAACGGCGTGTCATTTGGCACCACCTGGTATATGCATGCTCAGGCCATTGGCATTGTTGGAGATGCAGTACTTGCTGTTGTGGCGGCTTGTGAATTCACTTAGCCGTAGATGTACCCTACCCGTGCATGCCAAGACACACGAGTCCAGTGTTTTGTGCAATATTTTTGTTGCCAGACCTCGTGGTACGTGCGGGAGCTCCTTGCTAGCCCTGCCCCGTCGGCGCGATTGATGTTTCGGGACCTGGTGTTCAGCTTGCTTGAAGGTTAACGTATCCGTGATTGTGACGCTCACTTCCGCCACAGGCAAGAGAAATCTGACCTAGCCGCTACCTTGTTCCTTCTTGCGGCGTGTTGGGTCGGGGGTACGCAATCGATCGCTCTCTTGTCGACATCAGGTATTGCCAGTTACGGACGGTGCAGAGCTGGAGGGCGCGTGCGAGTCGCTCGTGCTGCTGCTGGATAGGCGGCAGGCGTTTTACCGACACACGGCAGTCCCGGGGGGGGCGGCGGTCGCGGGCGTGGAGGGGGCTGACCTGATGTCGGTGTTGTCGGAGGAGGACTGGCGGAGAGGGGTTGGCTTCGCCGATTGGGTGTGTGTGGTGTTTGGAGAAGGGGCTCCCAGCGCGTCGTCGTAGTCGTTGCCGTTGCCGTTGTTGTTGCTGTTCTTGTTGCTGCTGCTGTTGTGCTGACCACCGGCAGTGTCCTCGGGCGTACCCTCTGTGCTCATTGGTGCCTAAAGCAATCCATGCAAGCTTGGCGCTGGTGCTGCCTTGAAATGGGGAGCAACTTTGGCGATCAAAGGCTGGACAAAGCCCATTCTTGGCTTGATTCATCTCCATCATCAATGAAACCCGGCCGCTTCTGGGGCAAGTCTACCACAGCAGTAGTATGTTGGCCCCTTCAGATGTATGCTGGTTATTTGCTCATCTGCTCATCTGCTGCGAACGACGAAGGTGAATGCCGTGAGTCCATAGCAGTAGTATGTTGGTCTATTCTCGAGGAAATATATTTCGGTTCTTTGGTCTCCTGCTGCTAACGATGACAAAGGTTGACGCTGTGAGCTCCGAGAGCACTGCAGACGTTCGCCGCTGGAGACGCGCTCAGATCGTAGAGGAGGGCTCCACCGGGCGACTGCGCCTCAGCTTCGACGGCTTGTCGGAGTATTATGACCAGTGGGTCGATAGGGACAGCCCCAATATCGCTCCTCCTGGGTGAGTCACTGGTCTCTGGCGCTTTGTTGTCTGCTTGTTACTCCCTTGGTTGGCTCCGCTTGGGTTGCTGTCAGCGCTGTCTTTCTCCTCTGGTCAGAATGCCTGTTTGTTCATTTGTTTTTGTAAGAAAGTTAGCCTCGTCTGGTCGCCAGTTTCCGATATAGCTCTCGTACCGTGTGTTGTGTCCTCGATGTTGTCGCCTGGATGTTAGAAACCTGTCTTTTGCGCCCGTGTCGGCGGCATCCCTCGCCTGAATCCTCATTGCCGGTGATACCTATACCTCCATCGAAGGACCTCTCACTCTGTCGAGCTTGTATTTTCATACTTTCTCATGGTTAAAATGCTTGTGTTTAGTTTTTCCTTGATCTCGAGGTTATATACTTTTCACCGGTCGCCCCGGTGGTCTAGTTGGTAACCTCGAAACCTTCTGAAGGTCAAGTCAGGGGTTCGAATCCCGGCGTAAGCGAGCTTTGCTTGCAAAGTGAGTTATTCTCTCGCTTCCGCTCCTGGCCTAGTGGATAGCGCTAGTTCGTGTGTACACAGAGGGAAGAGAGTGCTGAACTCTTCTCGCATTATTAATCGAAGGCAAAGTACCGCAGGAGGGGAGGGTAGAGAGGGGCTCTTCTGTGTGACCACGGGTTGGAGTAAACGGCACTACTAGTGAGCGCTGATTTGATGTGACGACAATATATATATATATATATGCTTGAGTCCAATTTTCCGTCTCACTACTGACGAGTTTGTACAAGTCTTGTGTCTGATTGACATGTCTATTTCGAGTTTACCACTCTGATGTCTGATCCTCGTCTTGCTTGCTTTGGTTGTCGATAGGACCCGATCAGGACAAGAGGTGGAGCGATGGCGGCAGGCTCTCCAGCGCGGGAGCCTGGTGGATGCTCTAGACCCTAACAACACGTGGACCAATGCCACAGTCATGGACACCAGAGAGCGGATGGGAGCGCCTGTTGCTGTTGGCGTGGGGCCGATGGGTGGGGACAGTGCTGGTGAGCGGTAATGCCACCCTTGTTGGTTCTGGGGTCGTGCCAAGCAAGCCCCAGGCGCCCTTTACTCTGCCGCCTACTACACCATGTACTGAAGGAAGGGAGTTTGTGCACCTGGTCAGCTTGTATCTGTTTTAATTCTGCGCAACAGCGGCAGCGTTGCTTGTCCGTCGAGATATGCCCATGCAGCCAGCTGCGTGTACATGTATTCCTTTGAATCATGAGCGTGTAGTTTCCTGTCTTTGTCCTGTCCGATTGTGTGAATTTGAGGCCTTGTCTCAGCGGCGGCCAGTCTTGCACCCGTCCAAGAGCGCCGGCCGCTGTCTCTTCCTCTGCCAGAGCTTACAACCTCCTTCTTGGGTACAGTCAACCGATCGATTTCATCCTCAAGAGTATGGTCCAACCTTGTAGTCCACTACATACGGACCGCTGTTTACCCTTCGACACACGTTGAGCATTGCTTCCTCGTTCGTTGGTCTCCTTCCCCCATGCCGCCGCTGCCCCTATCCTCAAAGACAAAAGGCTAGAACTCCTGGTGAGCTTCCGCGTGTACCACCCGGACGGAGACAAGGAGGAAGCGCTGCTGCCCTACAGGCACGAGCTCCTCCCGGGAGAGACGGGCAAGGACCCCGGAAATGCGGTCGAGACGCTGGACGCGTCACCCGCCGCCCGCCGGGAAGAGGAAGAAGCGATGGCCGCGGCGGCTGCTCCCGGCGGGCTCCGGGGAGACGCGCCTGGAGGGAGGGTATTGGCGGACCCCCTTGGCGCGGAAGGCGGTGGTGTCGCTGAAGCCGTTGTTGACGGTGTCGCGGCGCCGCTGGCCGGCGGGTGGGGCCTAGCCGGCGGGAGGGGGGGTGCCGGAGGCAACGAAAACGTTGGCGGGGGGGCGGAGGGCGGCAGAAGATGCCGGCGGTACTTCGGGCTCGCGTCGAAGGACGAGTGGATCTCGGCCTCCAGCTCCCGGATAGAGAAGCTGAACTCTAGGGCGCCGTGGAAGAACTCTTGGACGGAGGAGGCACCGGTCAACGATAAGGAAGACCCGTATCTCACGGAGGACGGGACCCACCTCGTGTTCGCCGTGCCGCGCGCTCCAGTCGACGGTGCCCCCTGTCTGGTGAGCCAGCTACGCGCTCTGTAGGAATTCCGTGTACGCTGAGCGTGTTAGTATTTGGCGGTGGAAGTGAATGTAAATCAGATCGATGCGTAGACGGTGCCAAGTTTGCGCCGCCGCCGCCGCCGCCGCCGCTGCTGCTGCCGCTGCTGTAGAGGCGTATAACGTGATGTCCTGCGCTGTCACGCAGACCTTGTGTTGGGTATTTTTTTGCAAGTCTGCACGCAGGTCTATATTTGGGTGGTCTACCAACAGTTACCAATATTGAGTCGCTTGCTACCGTGAGCTAGCGATGTTGCAGCTTTTCTCTGGTATAGATTCGCCAAGTTAAGGTACAGGAGTCTCTTTTCCCAGTTATCTGTGTGATTTTCTTACCGTACACCTCCCCTCTTCGTTTTTTTTTGCCCCCGTGCCTTCCCTGGACTACATTTGTTCCCTCCCTCCGTCGCGTCTCGTTTCTCCCTCTACTCATCGTGTCGTTTCCATGCCTTTTCTCGCCTTGTGTCTGGTCTTACTTTGCCTGGCCTTGCCCCTAGGTGGCCGCCGTAAACGCCTTTGGCCAAGCAGGCGGGTTCGAGAACTTGATCGTGCGCCTCTCGCCCCCGGCCCTCGAGGAGACCCTCCCCGCGCCGCTCGCCGAAGCCCCGCTCCCGCCAGCGCCCCCTTCCACAAACACGCCTCCCGACGACACCGAAAACCCGACCCCGCCTTCACCGCCGCGGCCTCCTGTCGCAGCAGACGAGGGTAGTGTGGTTTCTTCGGTCACGGCGGCGACGGAGGGTAGCGGCAAGAAAGTGCGGGCGGCGGCGGCGGTGCCCCTGGAGGCTCTGCGCAGCGCGCTTGTCGCCGTGGCGTCGGTGCGGCCTCTGCTTGCGAGGAGGGTGGCGAGGGCGATTTTGGGGCGGACGGCGACCGCTGTCTCGGCTGCGTTGGAGGGGTACGTGCGGCAGCCAATTACACGTTGTTGTTGTTGTTGGTGGTGGTGGTCGTGGTGTCGCGCTCGTAGTCGCCGTTGTCGCCGTTGTCGCCATTGCCAGGATATCCTTGTCCTTGTCCTTGTCCTTGTCGCCATCGTTGTCGTTGTCGCTCGAGATATCGATTCCACACCGAAAACCCTGCCCTAGGTGAAGGCGTTGTAGAAGCGAGTGAGCGCATGGTGGCACTGCTGAATCGTTGCCACCGGCGCCGGTGATGTGTGTAACGTGCTATTTTTGACATCCTCTTCTGTCGCGGTCCTGCATCCATCCTGCGTCAAGGGCTTCGGACTCGGAGCTCCGCGGCTTGTCGCGCGAGCGGGTAGATGGGATCGTCAACGGCTTCCGCGAGGTGTTGAAGAGAGGCCACAGGAGCAGTGAGGCGTACCGGCGGGTCGAGTGGTTGCAGCTCGACTTGGCGCTCAAGCTGTACAGGTACGCTACAACGCAAACTTCTGTTGCCGTTAAATAAGGTGTTTTGGTTCCCCTTTCCGTGCTCATCCCCCCGCAGCGGAGTAATTTCCCCGCAAAGGAGGTAGTCTCCCCGCAAAGGAGATTATCTCCCCGCCGTATCTTGCTGGTAGACCCCCCCCCGAGACAACCGCAGGAGCGTGTGCCGTCATGGCGTTCTCCATAGCCCTGTTCGCCCGCTTAGTAGAGCACCAACCACCCCGGCAAACGAACGTTGTCTGTCCCGCAGTTGTCCTTTCATGGAGCGGAAGCTGCAAGGCCTCAAGGTTCTGGCGGATGCGGTGACAGCCGCGGAGACGCCAATTTCTAGCTCCATCTCGCACGGGAGTTCCCCCACACTCACTCCACAGGCAAGGGCTAGTTGTTGCGCCAGGTTGGGATAAGGCATGCGATTTTGCTTTCATTGAGTCGAGGGGCTCGAGTCGCGCTGCTTGAGGCTCTGGTGCTTGAAAGGAGGGAGGCCTGCCGTTGGTCGTGGCTGGCTCACTAGAGGCCAGCCTGTGTTGGCCGTGAGGTCCGAAAGTTCGTCAGGGCTGAGAGGGTTGGAAGACGTTAACACAAACAACGTCAGGTGCTACGATAGCGACTACGGTTGGGCCTCGTGCCGGGGTGTTTTTGTGTGTGTGTTGTGTGAACACCTACAACGGTGCTTCTTATGTTCGGTTCCGTTCCGAGGAAAGAGTTATCGTTGCGCACAGTACATCGGTGAACAAAACAGCGCGTGATGTGCAACGTATGTGTCGCTCGCATGCAGGAATTGGGTAATCCGCCAGTATTTGTCCGTACCCCGAGAGTGCTGCGGTTCCCCCCCTTGAAACCCATCCTTTCTTCCTGATTGGTGACTCGCAGCGAATCAAGTATCACCAAAATTTGCTGCGTTTTTCAGCACAGGAATGTGCTCTTTGTGTTCCGATTCCTTCCAGAGGAAGAGCTCTTGTTGAGAAACCAAAATCGCTGTCCAAAGCACCGCGTGCCCTGTACAACCCATGTCTTGTTTGCTTGTTTGCTTGCTTGCTTGCAGGAGTTGGTGGAGTGGCTGGACGACAACAATTTTGTCAAGGCTCTGTTCGCGGGGCACACGCAGCTGATACGCCGGAGCGGCGATGTGGTCGGGTTCTTGTGCCGCGAGAGAGCGCTGACGGCGGGACACTTGGACATTATCTGGGCCGCTGGCGGTGGAGGGCAGGACAAGGACCGAAGAATATGCGTTCACGAGGTGCTCGAGCTTTTTCTTGAGAGCTTGCCTGAACAGCGAGCGGTGTTGCTGACTCTCCCTTGTTGCAGGTTTTAGCGATCGAAATCGAACCATCAGGGCAGGCGGACTGACTGATCTACAATCGTCCGATGGTTTGGAATATGCGTCCACGAGGTGCTCGGCCTTTCTAGACAGCGAGCGGTGTTGCTCTCATTGTGTTGTTCCAGGTTATGGCTACATTGTATTGAAATCGCGGCATGAGTGCAGGCAGGCTGACCGGTCCAGCCGACCGGTTGGTGTCGGTTACTTTGAGTTTGTACCGGTAGCGCCGATATACCGCCACGCCCATGCAGCTCAGCAACATCCAAAACGGGCATCCCTTCCGTGTAGCTGTAGTCGGCGCCTTTGATGGCTGCGTTGTTGCGGTGCGATGTGTATTTCGTAGTGATGGAGCACATTGTCTCTCCTCGTTGCAGGTGCTTCGACCGTTTCTGTACCAGCTGGACATGGCGCTCTTGGGGAGGCTTGTGGACAAGCTCAGTACGCAACCGCCGGACGAGGTCATCGAAGACACCGTGACTTTCATCAGAGAGACCGCCGAGGCTACCCAGCAGGCAAGACACAATCGTGCATACATGATATTTCGGAACACATGGAGGAGGCGCTGATTACCCACAATTTTTTTTTGGAAAACAGGGGATGGCTTCCGGTATGCCCACGTGATTGCCATCAACTCTTCGTGGCCCTGCAGTTGTATTGGCAGCTCCCGAGCCTTGGACGCGCTGTATCGAACCCTAGATGCTGACATGTATTGATCACTTCCTGAATCGAACCCTACCGACAAGTCGCGACCATGTTCAGCTGTGAAAAATAATCTCGTGCGACGTCCCCATTCCTCCGCCTGCCCCCCTGCAGGGCGGCGCGGCACTCTCCATCCGGTTGTTGGACCTCCTGTGGGCAATGGCAGACGACAGGTCTCCTTACCGTCCGCGCATCAAGGCCAACGCGGCGGAGACCATACTGCCGGTGGCAGGGCTGCATGGACTCAGGGGCCACCGGGCGCAGACCCTGCAGCGTTGCGTAACGAACGTTGAGAAGGGCCGGGCTGTTGTCACTTCGCTCAAGGTACTTGAAACCGAGAGCAGGTTGCACTTGTGCGGTGTGAACTGGTTGATGTGCAAAGAGTTACGCTTGCCAGGCGCCACTCCACGAAAACACAAATTCCTATGTATGGAGATGAGCATCTTGTAACGTAGCTTCAACACGCTCGTACAGATGCACGGAAGTTGAAAATAGCCGGCTGGGGTATCTTCGTGATTCGCGTGCGCTCGCGGTGCCGGCGTCGGATGCTGCAGGTAGATAGAGCAAGCACCAGCAGCATCCGTGGGTACTGCTGCGCATTCCACGTTCTCTTCCTGCCCGCGTTACCTCGAGACGAAGACAAGCACTAACATGGTGTTTCTCTTGACCCTTTTTTGTTGGTGAGGGGGAGGGGAGACCGTGTTTTTCCCACTGGCTTACTTGCTGTGACATGCACCGATCGGGTGCTGGTAAAATAGAAGTATTGGCAACCACAAACCCTCTCTCTCTCTCGCTCTGAATCGTTGCCTTTCCTTCCTCGACCCTACTACGGCCGCCGCTGTCCTGTCCTTGCCGGGACGTCTCGTGTCATTGCCTAGGTGTTGGAGGCGGTTCTGCAGAACTACCCCAAGGATGCCACGAGCTACGAAGCCTTGTCTAGGCGAGACGTGATACACAACCTGGAGACTAAGAGCGGCTTGACGGAGCTTCTCCTGAGGTCAGTGAGAAGTCCGCCCTCCCAGATGCAGGCAGCCTTTTTTTTGTGCCCCTGTTGGAAAGCACGCTACTTGGCTCATGCGTTGTGGCTCATGCTCATGTGGTCGTTGGTTCGGGGTACGCGGCCTCGAAACAGGAGTCTCAGGCAAGCGTGATCTGTTGGGTTGTTGTTATTGCGTTGATATCAAAAGCCGTTCCGATCTCTGCTCAATACCTTAATAGTAGCATTACTGACGCGCACGCCTCCTGTGGTTAACTATCCAAGAGGGATAGTCTTATTTGCAGGACACCAGCATGGCAGAAGAGGGTTGATTTCCGTCGTTCCCCCGCTTGTCTTAGCATCATCAAGCGCTCCCTCCCCTACCTCCCGTGATTTCGGCGCCGTCGCGCTGGTCCCGCAGAGAACTGGAGAGCTACGTCGCCGGCTCGAGAAATAGCACCCTGCCGGAAGACACCACGGACGGCAGTCTGGCTGCCGACCACAGTAACAACCCTCCTTCGCTTTCGCCGGTGTCGGCGGGTTCTGCAACAACCGCGGCGGGGGTACGCAGCCTTGAGAGGAGGAGGGGGGGGTCCGACAAGAACGATGCCCACCTTGCCCAGGTGTCTATTATTATACATGTGCCATGTGGACCTCACATAGTTTTGGTGACCCCCATCATGTTTGTTGGTGTTGTTTCTGACAGTACGACGCACTGGGTTGGGAACCGTGTTGGTAGACGGGCTTGGCATGCCCCAACTCCTTTATTTATTTTGACAACGAAACGCCCCCTCCTCTCGTGACCCCGGCTGATACGTGGAGCATACATTCCACAACCAGTAGGTGTGTGAACTGGTGCCGGAGTAGATGGGACGAACACACATGCACACACCCTCTCATCGGATGATTTTCCCTCTTGGCCGCGGCGTGCGCGCGCGCGTGCGTGCCCTCCCACCCGAAAACCCATGAAGGTTAAGGCCCGGCTGCACACGCTGGAGCACGTCTTCGACAACTCTCGCCTGGTTCTCAGCACAGAGCAGATCAAGCGCCTCTGGGCGTGTCTCGGGCCCGGCCCCGGCCCCGGCCTGGCGGGGTCGACGCGTGGCGAGGTTTCCACTCTTCTCTCTTGGTTTTCCAAGGCGTGCGAGGCGTGCGAGGGGGAAGGGGGGGGCGGCATGTTTGAACCCGGCGTCGCTGCAGAGCTATTTCAGGTGAGGCGGGAGGGACTGGATACATCTGGTGTGTTGTGTAAGGGGTCGGACTGATCTTGGCTGCGGTACGCACAAACACCGGTGTTGGTCGTCTAAGAGGGTTTAAATGAATGTGTCGTTACTATTTTTTCGCGATAATTTCTGCTGTGTTGTTGTTGGTGGTGATGGTGATGATCAGTCGAGAGGGTTGTTGTTGGTGTTTTTGTTGTCGCTTTACTCGGGCTTGACACGGCAATACTTGGCCGGAATCGCTTTTTTTTTTTTATCGTTCGCGCACGTTGGTCGCCAGGAGCTGATCGTGTCCGACGGAGAAAAGAGAGAATTCGCCGCGACGAGCGCCAGCCCGGAGTGGTTCTCGTGCTTCCAGACATTCTTCTTCAAGGTCAACCGGCAGTCGGGTCGCATGCACGTCACGACTGCTCCCAGCACCACCACCACTAGCCCACGCGCCGACGCGGCTTCGACAGCAGGCCAGACGAGGGGCAGGGGCGGTGGAGACGACGCGGAGGGCATGATAGCAGGTGAATTTGGTGTGTATGGGGAGCCCGCGGAGTGAGTGGCGGCTTTCTTGTTCGTGAAGGCTACTATGTCCAGGCAAATTAACTTGACGTCATTGGGCACGACTACCAACATCGCTGCAGAACGGGCCCGCTGTTAAGAACTATTTCGCGAAGGATCAGAGGCTCAGATTTTCGCGACAATCAATATGAATATAGGGTTGGTTAAGAAACTCAGCTAGCTCAGCGGTGGGTCCCATACTATGCAACTCTACAATACACCCTGTGCTCGACGGCGGCAATGAAACATGAAACTGAGCCTCGACCAGATTATCCCTTTTCTTCTCTCTAAGCCCGTTTTGTACCCTACACGCTGCCACCCCCGGCTATTCTTGCCCAGCGACGGGAGGCGGAGACGTGGGTCGAGACACTCCACCACGCGGTCCAGACTCCCCCCTCGACTTGGTGGTGGTACCGTCGGAGCTGTCAGGGATGCGAGCTCTTTGGAATGTCGCCCTAGAGGCTGAGGACGCGACGGTGGTGGACCAGGCCACGAGGCTTCTCAACCGAACTCATCTGGTCTGTGCGGGGTTTGCTTCTTTCGTGCGACTTTGCTCGAATTTGATGTCGTGTCTTGTGTGTGTGTGTTTGTTTTTTTATTCATTCACGAAAGAACGGAGACGTTGTGTGTTACCGTTGCCGTATCCTTAAGTCGTGTTTCACATCTGTTTTGTTTGGACTTGGTTAAGTCAGCCTCTTGTTGGCTGTAAATGAGCACGATACGATACCATGCATTCCCGTGCACAGCAGTAAGACTCTTCTCGCGTCTTGAGTTAAGGTTAGCCCTTAGCCCGGCAGAACCTTTGTTACCTCCCAAGGTTTGAAAGTCCGCCCTCGGCCCCCTCGGCCCCCCCGATGACTGTCTGTGGATGCCCACAAACGTTGTGTGGCGAGCTACTCACTCACAGGCATGCTTTTGCACTTGAACACGCTTTTCTCATTCGAGATGTGTTCGCGCGCTCTCCACGCTCGTATGGTAGGGGTTGTGTCTTGTTGTTATTCTACGTTTTAGTTCGTCAACAATGGGTCGGTTGAAGAGCATGTATCTTCGAGGAAGTGTCTATGAGTGCATATGTTTTTGCTGCTGCTGCTGCTGCTGCTGGTCGTGATCGTGGTCGTGGTCGTGGTCGTGGTCGCAGGAGCTGGCTCCGGGGCTGCGAGATCGTGTCGGCGAGATCCGCAAGGAATACATCAACACCTGCATGGCCTACGTCAAGGTGCGTTTCTTGTGATCTTTGAGACGAGAGCCCACGACGATAACGCGTTCATTTATTTGCCCGCTTCGGAGAGCACCAGCGGCAGCGCACAAGTACCTGCAATGGCCGTTCAAGACCTGGGCCTGTGTTTCTCGCTAGAAATATGACGAAACACTCGATCGTGCTTTGTTTGCGATAGGATTGTTACCATGTGTTTCGCTGGCGAAGCCACGTTCGCGATGAGTGTATACTCCTTCTTATTTGTAGCCTTCGAGACAAGCGCCGGCCGTACGCCGTCCCTAGCTTGACCTCCGTTGGCCGTGAACCTTATCGGTGATCGGTGTCGGTGCTTGCTGTTGGTTGTCTAGCAGAAGGGAAGCGACGACAACACGGACTTGGCGGACAGCGACAACGACGCCCTGGCGACGCCGACCACTCCCGGCGAGTTGGCTAAGGCCCCATCACCATCACCATCATTGTCGTCATCGTCATCGTTATCGTTGTCGTCCTCCCGGCGTCAGCGGTCCGTGGTGCGAGCCCTCCACCTGCTGGAAGAGTTTGTGGACGAGACGGAGATGGGGGGCACCGTGTGGATAAGGGGCCACGGGGCGAGGGTCAGGGGCGCCGAGGTGGTGCTCAACTTCGAAAACAAGGTATGGTATTGTGTTGTGTAGCCTCTCTCTAAGGTTTGCACCCCCAGGCGATGCACCCGGCCAGAAGCGCTCCGTGAATCGGTAACAAAAGCTCGAGGTTGAGCTGGAATCCAACAGACGGCGTGTAAGGGGGTGTTTAGCAGCTTGAGATTACATTGTTGCGTTTTTGCTTGTGATGTCTGCGTGGGCATATCATTCCTTGTACATACATAGGGTGTCTCCTAGCATAGGTGCGTAGCGAGCTATTGGTATGGCACTCGTTTGCATCTGCGATGTGATCGGGGGCAGTGCGATATGATTGGGGGGGGGGGCATGCGTGCGGC